GTAATCGGTGAACACACAAAAAAAAAAAAAAATACATACTGATCGAATTGAGTAACCTCCTCCTTTTCGAAGTCGGTTAAATAAAGAAATTTCAATCTTTAACGGTTTGTCAGCTTTATTTCTTATTCCTTACAACTATTATAATTTTATTCTCTGAATGGTCATTACAATGAAAGATGGATTAGATACAATTTGATTCCTCATTTAATTTGTTATATACATATCAGGTTTCTTGCAACTATTGCACCTGGTCCACGCTTATACGATATTGCATATTTTACTTTCCTATAATACAACAAGGAAACAAAACTATAATATAGTGATTACCATAATACAATAGAAAATGTTAAGCTTGGTATAAACCTTATGTTTTTTTTGTGTACTTAATCTGCACTTACGCTTCGTTACTTTATAATAACTGATTTTTCTTTTGAATGGAACTTCCACTAGCGTATTGATGAAATTTTTCGATTAAAACAAGATCAAATACGACATAATTTGAATTATAGTTACTTTATATATTTGCATTAGGTTTTAAGTAAATAAGTAAATATAATGCAAATTATATCGTGTTTGGTCTTATTTTAATCAGAAGAACCTTACAATTACATTGGTAAAAGTTTCATTTAGCAAAAATGAAAAATAAAATAGTTATGGTTAAATTAATATTGTCTCACTCAAATGTTTTTTCTCGGGCCCTTTAATTCTCGGACCTCTTTCTCTTTCGCTATTTGTCTTTTTCTACGTTCGCCAGCATTCAAGAACTCGCTCGAGCTGTGTCGTTCTGCCAGCCTCGCACACTTTTAGGAGAATCGGGAAAATCCAGTATAACACATTCTATGCTGAAAGAATATACTAACTTATCTGCGTAAAAAAATTTTAATACATCTGACAATAGATTTATTTTCGTACTGCTTTTCTTAAGTAATCAGAATTTCACCATTCTCCTGTACAGATCGTGTGTAGCAGTTTGTAGCAAACTCAACATATTTTCGATATTATGTAGAATACACAACCGATCGACAAATATTAAAAATCCAGGATATTTTGTGCCGCTTTTTATATGTCAAGGGCCATCGAAATGAAATAAATGACCAACAATGAATAGTATAATAAAGGTTATCGCTGTTCATCTATTTCCTTTCTACGATGTACAGGATTGCCTCGAAATAAGCAAGTGTCTCGAGACCTAACAGTTGCTTATTTCGAAGCAGAGACCACTTGCTTATTTCGAGGCAATCCTGTATTTCTTCCACAAGAGACAGTTTCCTAACAATTTACAGTACAGTAAAATCTGGATATGCATATGCAAGAGAGATTGGGATCCAAGCGAGGTGTCGAATCTCGGGTTACGCGCGACGCTAGCCAAGCGTGAACGCAAAAAGGGACAGGCAATGGAGGAGAGAGAGAGGTCCAATGATCAAAGGAAAGAGGCGAAACATATCGGTGTGACTAATACTAATTCAGTTATAAAACATTTTTATCTTTGACTTTTTTTAAATGAAATTTTTACTAGCGCATTGGCCAGATTTTTCTGATTAAAATTGCTAAAATTGATGTTAAAAGTAGACGAAAAGTCAGAGAGATCGAATCAAAACATTGCATATGCATATCCAAGCGAGGTGTCGAAGTTTGATCGGACGTCTTGATCGGACCCAGGTTTTACTGTACTGTGAATTGTTAGGAAACCGTCTCTTGTGGAAGAAATACATCGTAGAAAGGAAATAGATGAACAGCGATCACCTTTATTATACTATTCATTGTTAGTCATTTATTTCATGTCAATCGCCTTTAGCATATAAAAAACGGCACAAAATATCCTGCATTTTTAATATTTTTCGATCGGTTGTGTATTCGACGTAATATCAAAAACATGTTGAGTTTGCTACAAACTGCTACACACGATGCGTACAGGAGACTGGTAAAATGCTGATTACTTAAGAAAAGCAGCCCGAAAATAAATCTGTTGTCAGATTTATTAAAATTTTTTTAGACAGATAACTTATTGTTAGTATATTCTTTCAGCATAGAATGTGTTATTATATTGGACTCTCTTGATTTTGCGTTACACTCAAATATTCGATGAATAGGTAACGAAAATGTGATGCTGGCAGAACGACATAGCTCGAGCGAGTTCTTGAATGCTGGCGAGCGTAGAAAAGGACAAATAGCGAAAGAGAAAGAGGTCCGAGAATTAAAGGGCACGAAAAGAAACATTTGAGTGAGACAATATTAATTTAACCATAACTATTTTTATTTTTCATTTTTGCTAAATGAAAATTTTACCAATGTAATTGTAAGGTTCTTCTGATTAAAATAAGACCAAACACGACATAATTTGCAATATATCTACTTATTTATTTAAAACCTAATGCAAATATATAAAGTAAGTATAATTCAAATTATGTCGTGTTTGATCTTGTTTTAATCGAAAAATTTCATCAATACGCTAGTGGAAGTTTCAATCAAAAGAAAAATCAGTCATTAGTCATTATAAAGCAACGAAGCGAAAGTGCAGCATAACTACACAGAAAACACATAAGGTTTATAGCAAACTTAACATTTTCTATTGTATTATGGTAATCACTATATTATAGTTTTGTTTCCATGTTGTATTATAGGAAAGTAAAATATGCAATATCGTATAAGCGTGGACCAGTTGCAATAGTTGCAAGAAACCTGATATGTATATAACAAATTAAATGAGGAATCAAGTTGTATCTAATATATCTTTCATTGTAATGACCATTCAGAGAATAAAATTATAATAGTTGTAAGGAATAAGAAATAAAACTAACAAACCGTTGAAGATTGAAATTTCTTTATATCCTTACAATTGAACCTAACCAATTTTCCTCGTATGTCTTCGGATTTACGTTTTGTAATAGTTAGAATAACTGTAATATCTAATTGAAGAAATTACTTCTGTATCTCGTACTTTTATCATATGGACGTCCATACATATGTATATACATAAAACTTAAATATTAAAAAAAATATCAAAGAAAGATGCAGTTCAACTCCTTCTTTTAACTGCTTCCCAAGTTAATGTATTTCATAGTATTAATGTATTAAAAATGTATTTTTATGTATTAAAAAAACGTTAATGCATTAAGAATCAGAACTGAAACCGTAGAATCGGGATTCGAACTGAATCTCCTGGTTTCTCACTTCTACCATATTGCCATGGACGAAATTATATTATTTTGTCGATTCATCGGTGCTGCTGCCACGTGCTTTAGCGGTTTGAGCATCGAGCCGATAACGTAGAAATGACGAAAGCAGCCGAACTCTGCCAAACCCGCAGAGCTCACACGGACACGTGGACAACGCGCTTGTGTTGGCAAAGGAAACCGTTGTTTAGAATCACCATAGCAATCATCCCTCTTCGGCTGTCGAGGTAGTCGCGTGACATCCAGAATATCCTACTAAATATGAAAGGTTTCACCGCGAACGATACATTCCTTGCAGAGTAACATGAAGGAATAGACTTTTTGCTATAACAGTAGTTATTAACAAATTTCATAAATTTTTGCATGTGGGATCATCGCGGATATACCTCCTACTAAATGTGAAAGGTTTCATCGCATTCGGTACATTCCTTGCAGCATAAACGCCAGAAGACATAAATGAAGTATTACGCTTTTTGCGATAAAAGTCGTTAGGAATGAAAAAACACAAAAATTATTTTGCGGGACCAATTGGGAGATATACTCTACAAGATGCAAAATTTTCGATCCGATTGGTCCATCCGTCTCGCGGTAATTGGTAAACGTACGGCGCACGTACATGAAATAGTACGTTTTTTTGCAATAAAAAGTGTTCGGAATGAAAAAATATAAAATGGGATTTAACGGGACCAATCGGGACACATACTTTAGAAGATGCAAAAGGTTTCGTTCGGATTGGTTCATCCGTCTCGGAATAATCGGCGAACATACATTTAGAAAAAAAAGTCGTTAGGAATGAAAAAATGCAAAATGTTTTTTTTACGGGACCAATGGGAAGTTATACCCCAGATAGCACACGATATCTTAAAGACATCCATTTTACGACCATTTTAAGTCTGAACGTCTTACGACCTTACCTGGACGTCTTTACGATGTTTTGTCCATTGCAAGGACATCTGAAATTCATGTCTTTAAGACGTCTTAAAAACGTACGAAAGGAACGTCGTATCTGAATATCTGGAATAGATATCTTTAAGATGTTTTAACGACGTCTCTGTGACATTTGTACGACGTCTTTAAGACATCCTGTTTTCTAACATAGGATGTTTACAGGACGTATTTCAGGCATTCACAGGATTTTCAGACGTCCATAAGACATCTGAATATCTGGGACAGATATCTTTAAGACGTTTTAACGATGTCTCTGTGCTATCTGGGACTGTATAAGACGCGAAAAGTTTTGTTCCGATTGGTCCATCCGTCTCAGAGTAATCGGCGAACGTACGACGCACGTATATGAAATAGTACATTTTTTTGCAATAAATAGCGTTCGGAGTGAAAAAATATAAAATGTTTTTTTAACGGGACCAATCGGGAGACACACTCTATCAGATGCAAAAGGTTTCGTTCCGATTGGTCCATCCGTCTCGGCGTAATCGGTAAACATACATAAAAAAAAAAAGCACACCATATTCAGCATCCTCCTCCTTTTCGAAGTCGGATAAAAAATAGCTGTTATTTTCAATATTTAAAGCCGTGATTTTCAGAAAGTGCTCGATTTGGCATGGAATGACCCTAATATAATTTTCAAACATTTGGGACTGTAGCTGAAGAAAGAAATATACAGTATTTAACCAATTGCCTTGGCCTCTTAAGATAGAGAAAAGCAGGATTCGCTATGCTTATCCGGCTAGACCCTTTTGGACGATGTTTTGAGGCAGGTCATATGCGTTCTGTCAGCACGTTTCCCATTCTTAAAGAAAGGTCCTCCAAGTCGGGGTGTTATAAAAAAGACGGTCACTACAAGTCAAGGTCAGTTTCCTGCGAGTTGTTGAAGTGTGTATTTCGCCTTGTGTGCAATATTACCTATTTGCAGTTTGTTGGATTTTCATTATTCAAAAAGAGCGTAAGTAAGTAAAGTGATTATTATTTCGTTGTTATTATTTTGTAATATATTTTCATTACTTTTTCAAACTAAATTATAGTTTTCTTACAGTCTGCTGTTTTACGGTTTTACTATTACTCTGTGTTGTACATTTTGCACGTGGACGCAGTAATATACAAGAGGTAATATACAAAAATAACATCGTCACTTTGTAGTTTCGACACTATTAACACTTTTCTTTCAATCTCTTGCTTAATTAGTTTATATCAACCTAAGAATGTCAGGAAAAGTTAAATTCAATAAATATCACATGCGTGCAAACAGAGCTCTGCTCGCTTTATACAGGGTGTCCCAGAACTGGGGTAGGACCCGTGGAGGAATGAAAAAATTACTGAGGTGATTCTAAACAATTTTTTCCTTTGCCAAAATGTTGGTTAAGGCTTCGTTTTCGAGTTATTAACGAAAAACACTGGCCAATCAGAGCGCGCCTTTAGCGCAGGCCGAACCGCAAGAGTGTTGGCTATGCTCTGCGTTCAAACCGTGGTCTTGATCAAATGCAACGGCACCATGTCGGTGTAATAGGATTCGTTGTTCATGAGCAACCGATAATTCGATACTATTATTCCTTTCTTTTTTTAAAGAAAAATTGATTATTCGATACAATTATTTTGTCCAACGAATCCTATTATACCGACGTGGTGCTGATGCACTTGATCACGACCACGGCTTGAACGCAGAGCATACCCAACACTATCGTGGTTCGGCGCTAAAGGCGCGCTCTAATTGGCCAGTGTTTTTCGTTAATAACTCAAAAACAAAGCCTTAATCAACATTTTGGCAAAGGAAAAAGTTGTTTAGAATCACCTCAGCAATCATCCCTCCACGGGTCCTACCCCAGATCTGGGACACCCTGTATAATCGTTCACATCAGGAAACCTCTACAGCATCCACAGTAAGCTTAGGAAATCAGGATACTGTTACGTCCCGACAAAGAAAATTCTATTATCTCCGATTTCAAATTGCGGAAGCATTGGCAGTCATGAGATCGGTTCATTGACTGGCCTCCTTGAAGTCACTAGCGTCAACGAATTCTTTCTTCTTCTCGAAATGCTGCGTCGAAAATATGTGCCAATGCACCGACATTCTAACAGGTCAATACACTAGCGAACTCTTTTCTCAACCCATGCAAAATCAGCATTTTCGGCCATAATAAAAAACGATTACGGGCAATAGCGAATACAGTCGGCCATACAGTCGCGAGGTGCACGGTCTCTCTGTCCGAGAAAGACTCAGTTTTCCTCGTTAAAGAAAGACTTCAGTTCAACTCATTTACCGATAGAACTATTAACGTAAAGACATTAAGACTTAGTGTAAACCCATAGTTTCGATCACCCGTGTGCGTCGAGAGGAAGAGAGAAAGAAGGCAGCGCTCTATTAAACTTGTTAACCGTTTGTGTTCATCCTGTGAATCCCAACCAAACTCTGTATACTCTGTCCTCGGTTGTTAAGAAATTGTAACATCTTTTCCGTTTGAAAGTATAACAATTCGACTTTGTAATAGATCATTTCTTTTGGGATAATATATATAATAGATAATTATTCAATTTTGCTAATTATTTGTTGCGTATTCAACGAACGAGAGGCTTGTATAAGTCTAGACCGAATCCGAATCCCATAATACTTTTCCTTCACAAAAGAAGGTGTTTAAGCGTTGCGTCGGATCACAAACTTCCGCAGAGTAGTCACCTACCATTACGCCTACTCCGCACGTAACAATACACATAATTTTGTAGACAACCCTTCTTTCTCCGAAAATGATTTTGCGTCTGTTGATTGTCCTACTGATTTTCAAAACGAAATTTTCGAACAAACGATCCACTCCGAAGAAAGTACTGCGTTTAATACCTATTGATACCGATTTGACGACTGACATGAAGAAATTAAAATTAGCACGCAAAGTTGGCTCTGTTGCAGAACAGCCAATTTCAATATATTGTAGACTAGCTGTGTTACTCGGCGCTGCCCGGGTGGTATTTTGTCTGAGTGTATGAGAAAAAAAGATGAATGCTGAATACGGGAAGCAGCACCGGCAGCGTCGCCATCCATCCCCACCGCTAAGGTACGAAGGTATTCCCACTACTATGTCAACACTGCAGCGGTGGGGATTAGCAGTTCTGCTGAACTGCTCTGCGCTACGATTTACACAAACGAAATAAACAATATTTTATACATTTTCCGATGCAACAGCGTAATAAGACTGAGCTTATGTCCTTCGCAAGGTTATAAGGATCACATCTAAAAAAATAGGATCAAAATCGAACCAGCAGATTTGGAGATTACCCTGTACAAAGCAAATGCTTACAGCTTTATATATGTTATGTCCCTGGCCTGGGGTTGTTAATAAAATTCACTCCTCCTTTTTCTAAATTCTTTTTTTATTGCACCAATGCTTCGCTTACTAACTGCTCAGTTTCCTTTCTTTCTTTTTGCTAACTTCACAACATTCCTTCAGACATACCATACATACCATTCATTCTTTCTTTCGGTCATTCTCATCAGTCGTACCACTACTCACTATTTTAGGCACTATTCGCGCTCCGCTACATATATAGATATAGATATGAAGGACTGAAGTTCCCACTTACGCGGGAAGAAGATTTATTGGTCTTAGAAACCTCCCTAGCAAAGGAGGACCATTTTAAAGATGCAGTAAGCAAGATACTGATATATCGAACAGCTTTTATCTTTCATAATTTACAAACAATATTTTACTTTCAGGTTCAGGAATTAGCAAAAACAGGGGGGACAACAACTACCAATTTGTGAAAAGGGTGTTGTCCTCAATTATAGACAACAACTTAGCGCTGAAATACAGCTGGTTGGGAAGAAAGGGCAAGAAAGTATTCTGCACCCTGCATTTAGCTAGGTTGGTGATATGTAAGTATCGCCCTGTTTTTAATGTTTCTAATGATGATTTCTGTATAATTGAACATGTACAAATTCTTGTTTTAACTGCTGCTGAAACGGCAAACCTTGGTGATACCAAAAGAGCAACAGAGGTATCAATACAAAATTGGCTGAGGAGAGCGTTTGACAGAAATCATGTAACCCCAAAACAATTTTGAACGAACATTGTATTTTATCAACGGACTACATTTAAATAAAATATTATTATACTGAATACGATTATACTTTAATTAAACCATATTTATGACATCTGTAGGGTATATATAAGATATCTTTAGGGCATTAATAAGACATCTTTAAAACGTCTGTAAGGCATCTGTCGGATATCGGTACGACATCTTTAAGACATCCCGTTTTCTAACATAGGATGTTAACAGGACGTATTTCAGGCATTCGCAGGACCTTTCAGATATTCATAAGATATCCTCAATTTCTGGAACAGATACTTTAAGATGTTTTAACGAAATTTGATTTAACTAAACATTAAGGGCCAGTATGACAATTAACATTGCACTAATCGTAAGTAAAATATTCAGTTTGACTTTAGAAGAATGTGTTACGTTCAGAACAGAAATTTTTACACATTTCTCTTTTGTTTCTTCCCCCTCTCCTAAATTGTCTCCTGCATTTTGTGACTGCATTTGTCAATGCTGTCAACTGTCAAGGAGAAAGCTTCTGTTTCTTCCACCCTCTCACAAATTGTCCCCTGCATTTTGTGACTGCATTTATCAATGCTGTCATTCTCAGCTATCAAGGTGAAAGCCATGTTGTTCCTTCCCCCCACCCCCTTCTGTCCTCTTTTTGATGGGTCTACCCCCATCATCTTGATCCGTTATATCTTTGACCTTCGTTAGAGGTATAAACGGAAACCATGAACATCGATACATTGTTTCACATTCTGGACCTCCCCTGATTGAACGCAGAAACGATCTTTGATATTTCGAGATAGTCTATCTTTTCCAGACATAATTTCGATTGTTAGTGTAACAAATTCCTTCCTCGAAATCAGCGTGGTCCCACGGCCCAAAATCACGTATCGTCTTTGGTTCTGAGTATCGCCGGATGTAAACCCGACACATCATTCATGCGGTCCGATAATCCTGACCACTCTGGAACGTTCCTTGTCGGCTCCGCGAAGATGATCGAAATTCTTTATACATACATTATAATAATCCGAATTTTCTATTAACTCGTTAAATACTGTAATATTGTATTTCCTCCACGCCGGTTAGTCTAAGATGCGAATTCATACTTTCATTTAACATTCGTTTAAATTCAGTAATTTGTATTAATTTTGGAAAGCATGTTTTTCTCCCTATAACGTTAAGATCAAAACGATTTTGTGAAATGTATTATATTTTAATGAATATCAAAATCTTTAGTACGGTAGGAAGAGTAAAGGAATATGCTCGAGTTAGAAAGAGAAAGATTAAAACGGAGAGAGAGGAGCGCACATATCCCTACTGCACCACCGATTAGCGAATCTCGCCTCCTTACGCATCGACACCGCCGCCTAATTCGTTAGGCGCACAACAACGCAATGTAAACAATTTCGGACGAGGCCCGCTCTGGTCTTCTCCGAAAGGTACAGATTGCGACACTCTTCGACGTACAATCGCGAGCAACGTGTCGACGGGTCCGTGAAGTGGTTTAGAGACGAGTTTTGTTCTAAGTTGTTTCAAAGTAGCAATTAGGGCAAAAGATTCTATCTTCGCGTATCCATTTTATTTTCTTTTGTTTTGATTATTATTTTATTCATTTTATTAATTTTCCAGTTTAATTTTACTTCTTTATAAATACATACAATTACGTAGTTTTAGTTTAACAGATTTCGCAATAGTTCGCGCGTTCAAAATTGTGTATCGCTGCAAATAGTTCAAGGTGTGTGCGTTCTACTCTCCTTCCTCCAGAAACCAGACAACAGGAAAATAGCAGCCATAAAAATTGGGACTCATATACGGAATTTTTCCACATAATCCGGTGAGTCGGTTCCCTTACTCTTCCGGTTATTTTATGAATACTTTGGCGAGGAATTTCCAGTAGTCAGTTTTGATTACGAGTCTTCTGTAACTGGAAATTTCTAATTCTGTATTTTATCACATGTATCTATCTATTTCCGGCCAATAATTGTGTGTCTCAAATCTAAGTTGTTCATGAGCTAAATCCGCATTCTCATATATTTAATCGCATTATTATATTTCATTATATTTTAATATTTTATACTTGTTATCATACTTCAATATTTTATATACTCTTCACATTCCAATATTTTATATATTTTATACTTTTCAATATTATATGTATTTCATTATATTTTAATATTTTTATTTTATAATATACCATTTTTGATTCATCTTAATCAAATCTAATTTTCTCTAACATACCCTTTTGTTGGCCTCCTTCAAAAATCCTATTATATTAGCGATCTGATGAAAAGACCCGCATGGGACTAGCGTATCTCCGAAATCACAAACATTTAGACCCAATAGCAATAGAAATTATTACGGTTAAATTTCCGGCTTTACGGCGTCACACGTGCGTTACGTTATCGATAGTTGCATTACTCGACTACCACTCTACCATATTTCATACTAGTTACGCTCATACATCAGCTGACACTTGCACACAGTAGCGTCCCGATCACACACGCGCGCGCGCCGCACGTAATAAATGTATCTATGTAGATACTAATTTTATTAAAAATATTACAGCTAAGAGCAAATTAAAAAATTAAATTAATTTAGATTTTATTATGTATAGTTATAGAAAGATAATACAATTTTGAAACACAGTTTTGAAAAATATACATAAATTAACATGCTGTATTGCTTAATATAGAGAACCTGTGTGCATATTTACATTGTAACGAAAATGACGTCTGCGTGCACCGGAAGTTCCGCTGCAGAGATCCTCCGTGTCCAGGTATGCTATATTGCGCGAAATCTCGAACAGGTAAATAGTACAATCTGTACAGTTCCACCTTCTATCGCTGAAATTAAATTACATATGTCGTGAATTAAAATACACAAAGAACGTAATCAGATGTATAATATAATTTCGTATGTTTTTAATGAATGAACTTTAATTAAATGCTATGTTTGATTTTACTTCAAGTTATTACTTATTACCTTTAATTAGAGTACAGAAATTATATTTCATTATGCACAAGAGAGAAATGAAATTCCTGAATAATTGATATTCCTGGATAATTTAATAAAGTAATTAAAGTAATGTTTTCACTAGATTAATTTAATGTGCAAAAATTGATTTGCTGTTTTGCTGTTGCAAAATAACATTTACACGAAAATGGTGGTGGGTTAAAATGTAGTGGATTAAAACGGAATATTCAAAAATTTGTTTACTTCTTGTAATAAATGAAAACCAAGGTCAGTCACTTCCAAAACAACGATTCAAAATTACATACGAGTCGTCAGTTGTTTGAAATCAGCATTTTATATTAATATTAAACAGCATGTTTGGTGAAGTTGTAGAGAAGCCACCCTCTTATCGATTTCGATGAAATTTAAATATGTTGTAAAACTCAATATTTTGAACATACTTCGTATAGATATTTCCTGTTCCAAGGTATTTGCAAAAAACTACTGTTACTATTACAATGAATTTTGTATTATATTATACTTGGAGGAGGAGTCCATGGTGGTATATGCTTCAATATAAGGTCGCTACTTATTTGTTCTTTCTACATAAGCACAGCACAATATCCAGCAAGCAGAATACATAAGGGGTGAAGCATAAAAATCCAGCGGTAAGTTTTTGAATTTTGACGCGTGATTGACCGTAACAAGTTAACTAATTAGTTAAATATTGGATTCGGTTCGGTTATGTTCGGTTGGATTATACTGACCTTTAACCTCCTGCCCTTTTACACCTGTCATACGTCATTCTACTCGTCCTGGCGTGCTGAATACGAATATTGGAACTTGTAGAAAAAGCGCTCTTCTTCTATTTTGATGATTTTTGAATATGTTATAAGATCCGACATTCTAAGCAACTTTTTTGCTTTACCAATATGTGAGACTGGCTTAATTTCAGAAATATTCACGTAAAAATGGAACTACTATTCCATTGAATTTCATCTGTACGTATACCTATTAGAATTTTATCTTTCCTCAAACAATGTGTTTCTAGTTATTGTATCCAACTCTTTTTCAGTCCTTTTTGCTCTACTGTTAATTATACTTTTTTTATAACGTTGTTCATTTTCTCAGAATAACTTCTACACTTACAGTTGCGGACTGTAGCGCAATTAATTTCCTTTATCAATATTCTACCAGAAATTAATTAAGCAACAGCAAATTTAAAAACAATATTTGTATATATTTTTATAATTTTATAGTTGTATCAACCCGGATGAGTCACTAGCAACCACGCAAGTTCACATTGAAGAACTCATTTTGTTCTTATTCGAAAAACATTAAGGTTTATTACCACTGCAGACATAGACACAAGCAGACGAAAGCATGGAACACAGACACAAAGTATGACAAAGGTAAGCATCAGACTAATTGTAAATTATACCACACTGGATCAAAATTTAAGTTAGGTGGAAAAGATTTACATGTTTCAAGAAACTGAGCAGATGTTTACATGATTCGACGGTACTAGTATGTAAGTTCTTTGGTATTATCACTTACTTGAAATAATCTTTCGTTTTCATACACCGGGCACGATATGATGTGGTGAATCGAGTTTCTTAAGTTACAACTGTTACACATTGGAGGATCTTCTTTTTTCATCAGATATACGTAGGAAAAATTGGTATGGCCGATTCCTATTCTTGTTAGTATAGTTTGTGAGGTTGGCTTTATTGATGAGAGTGAATGCTAGGGATAATGAGCATGAATGATGGTATGCCTGAGAGAAGCGTTTTTTTTATTAATGTTCGTATGCGTGGTGAGAGAATTTGTTGTTAATATCTATTGATATAGCAAAAACTTATTCGTTGGTGTTACTCTGCAAGGAATGTACCGATCGTGATAGAACCTATCACATTTAGTGGGAGATATTTCCACGATGATTCCACTTGCAAAAATTTTTAATTAACCATCTAAATTCGATCAATATATTTTTTTTTTGGTTTATGATTATTAGTTAACCAATGAAAACGCAAACCCACCATACAGTATCCTACAAATACTGCTCGTTCCACTAAAAAGTGTGAAATAAAATAATAATTTTTAACAAAAAATACAACCGACTTCGAGATGCGCTAAAAAGTGTAAAATAACATATATTTTATTTACACATCTACGTGACAACTATATTTATACAACTACGTGACAATTATTAATAAAACCTCTTACTGCATTAACAAAATGTGTTAAAAAGTATAAAATAATTTCTTTTTATTTGTATCAATACTCCACAGCTATTAATAAAACCTATTTAAT